ATGATACAGCGCGCGCACGCTAACCATTCAGCCATCCAACCCCCCTACAGCTTAGAACAATATATTATACGGTCGGTGTGTGAGTTAGTTGTATTTTACGTCCGCTTCCACCGAGATGATATCGCAGACAAAGGTTTGGTGGTTTTATTATCCCTACTTATATACCCTCACTATACCTAACAAACCAAAAAGTAATTTATATAGATAAAAGACGAATTAATTTACATGAAGATAGAAACACAGACACGGTAGTCCAAATATACTATTCAAAAAAGTAGGGGATATTTGATTTTGGGGGCATAATACTAAAATATGCAAATGACTACGAAAAAAGTCACTATAGAACCTAACAGAAGAAACATTTCCAGTTACATGTGACGCCCAAACGCACCAATAGCTACCGCATGGAATGCATGTGATGCTTGGGATCATCATGGGGGTCCAACCCAAGATTTGCACGACTCTGACTTTGAATGTTACAGTCATTGTGGCATTGAATTCCAGGGTGGAAACATCAGTTTAATTGTTTTAGTGACCAGAAAACTAATTTTGATATGCGTCGGCTTACCCAAAATGAAAGGTTACGTGCCCTTGGTATGCTACAGATCGGCACAACACAGACGGTTGTGGCGCGGACGATGAATGTTTCTCAGTCTGTCATAAGCAGGCTATGGTCCAGATACCGTGATACACAATCTGTACAGGACAGACCACGCTCAGGTCGACCAAGGGCGACAACTCAAGCCCAGGATCGATTTATCCGTACCTTGGCCTTGAGAAATCGTGTCATCACAGCAAATCAGATCAGCGCTCGTCTTCAAACAGACACTGGTGTGAGAGTGAGTGGCCAGACGATTCGGAATCGACTGCATAGGGGTCACCTTCGCGCCCGACGTCCTCGCGTGATCCCTTGTTTGAGAGATCATCACATTCAGGCAAGACGTCGTTGGTGTAGGGATCGTCAACACTGGGATAATCGACGCTGGAGCAATGTGATGTTTTCAGATGAGTCAAGGTTCACTGTTGATTTTTTGGGCAGACGTAAGAGGGTGTGGCGTCGTCGAAACGAGCGCTTCCAAGACGTTAACGTCATCAGACATGATCGATTTGGGGGTGGTTCTGTTATGGTGTGGGGAGGCATCACTGTTGCTGGAAGAACGGCTTTACATGTTGTTGCAGGGCGTGTTACAGGCCAGTACTACCGGGACAACATCTTGGCAGTCCATGTTGTGCCGTTCGCACGACGTCATGGCCGCCGTTTCATCTTCCAGGATGACAACGCAAGATGTCACAGGGCCAGGATCGTTACAGGTTACCTCCAACAACAGAACATCACCACATTACCTTGGCCAACACTGAGTCCCGACCTCTCCCCCTTCGAGCATGTCTGGGACATGCTTGGGCAGAGGTTACGTCAACGTCAACAACGTCCTGCCAATGTCCAAGAACTTGCTGCTGCGTTGCAACAGGAATGGGACAATCTGGACCAAAATGACCTTAGACGTCTCATTAGGAGTATGCCACGTCGGATCAATGCTTGTTTGGCAAACAGAGGAGGATTTACCCGTTACTGACTTGGTTGTGATGCTGTGGTAACTTTGCTGTTTGACCCCGGGTATCATTTTACCCTTATAATGGTCAGTCTGTGCCTTACTTAGTCTAACGATCATTTGGAATAAATCGATGAATGTGAACTTCATTTCATTTTGTCATTTGTTTCTTCGTCAGTTTCATTAGGTGACTTTAATAACACTTTAAAATCAAATATCCCCTACTTTTTTTGAATAGTATATAATATTTACATAATACTTAGTCCTAAGTAGTTCATCCTAATTTAAACAAAATGTATTACAGCTTCCACATACTGAATTGTTGTCTTTACATCATTAGTAAGTTGGAACTGCAGTCCTTATACGAAACATCGAGGTCCCGTGTGCACATTGACGTGCACGTAAAAGATCCCTTAACAGTTGGAATTCGATGTAAGTGTATGCCCGTCTTCATTATCCCAGTCGGAGCAGAACAGTAGGATATTAAACTCAATTTCATTTCTTTTCATGCAGTCTTTGTAGTCTATTGTTTTTTCCTTATACACCCGTTTCCTTTTTGGTGGGTGGGGATCACGTGGCTAAGTGGGTAAGACGCTGGCTCGCTAGCCTGGAGGTCGGGTGTTCGATCCCTGCATTGGGCGAGAAAGTTCATCCAGATTTTCCGGCGTGGTTCCCCCTTGTCAGTGATGCAGGACGGAGGGCCTGACAAGGACAGCTGTCTAGTCCTTCGGATGAGACAAAAAATCGAGGCCTCGTGTATATATTGGATTGCACGTAAAAGATCCCTTGGCAGTTGGAATTCGATATAAGAGTAGGCGATAGTGCCGCTGCCCGGGCAAAATTTCCCTCATAGCACACTGTATGGCGTATGCCCGTCTTCATTAGCCCAGCATAGGAGCAGAACAGTAGGACGTTAAACCCCATTTCATTTCATTTCATTTTTTGGTGGGTGACCTAGTTTGTGTCAAGTGGACGTTACCCCCCCCCTCTCTCTCTCTTTTTGGTGATACCGCTCCTAAGGTCAGTTGGGTATTTAGATCGTTGGCAAATCTCAATATTTCGAATTATGTCAATAAATCTACAGAGGTTAGGATGACATTGTAGTATGGTTTTATTCAATCGAGATAGGAAACCGTCTAGGTTGTTATTAGTCCTGGGTCCGCCATGTGTCTTGACGAAATTTATTACCGTGAGAACTGCACACGTTGAATTTATTTTTCTCCGTGCGATAGGCTACTATTACGCAAAAGCGATGGTGATGATCTTATCAAAAAAGGACTATTTCATGAACAACTTTGTAATTTGTCTTGGAAAACCTAGCCACACCATATAAATGTATAGGCTACCGGTACTAAGGTCTAAAATTTCTACTGAATCGAGGAATAATGTCAATGATTTTTATTTTTCACACTCACACTGCCCGGTTGCTATTTCACTAATTTCAGGTCAGGGCTACACTTAGTTCCTTTAGGAAAGGTGTCTGATCGGACTACATGTATGTCCTTTCACCATTCCTGTTCATCCCTATTAAGTTGCAATAATAATAATATAAGAATTCCACTTTACCCCAGTCCCACCTCTGTTCTGAACTACAACATTCTGTAAAATCCGACATCGGTTTCATGTCCAGATTTGTTTCCTTATTACTTCAGCCAAAAATCTTTGAGGAATCTGTATTCTGAATATTCCGAATTACGACACCAATCAGTCGCAACGTCACACGATTTCGATTGAATCAACATTCTGGGTCCTGCCTTCAGTCCGTTGGTGTGAAGCCACAAAAGATTAACAAGCAATCACCAATCAATTATCGGTGAGATTAAAACTCGCTCACGTAGGTCTTTGTTGATTACTTTGATAATTTTATAACCTCTTGTAAGAGAACGCTCAGTATTTGATTTTAGTTTCTCATGTCAAATACAGCGACCATTATATAAAATTTGCCAGAATGAAGAATCAAAGAATGAAGAATCAAAATGTGTGATCGTCCTGCAAAGCTTGGCAATACGGATTTGACCTTAGATGTCAAGCAGCAACTTACAGCAGATTGTCCCAAAGACCATTTTGGTCGGGCTATGTTATTTTAAATGAAGTTTTTAATTGAATAATGATATGTAAATGTACATCGTGTGACACTTTAATAAACATTTCTTCTTCTTTTATGACCATGCCAATATTCATTTAAAACTTTCTATGTTGCATTAACGAGCTATAATCATCGCAAAGTTCCCAGCACCCGGATTCGAGATAATTGGTACATCCATTAATTTTGTATCAGAAACCATCTTAATCAGCTTTGTTTGTTATTTCACAGAATCAAGGGATGAATAAACTACTACTAGTGTACTGCACTGTTTCAAGCGGTTTAAAGTCTTTTTGATAGTCCAACCTCGTGGGTTTTCTCCGGGACCTCCGGTTTCCTCCCACTGCTAAAGAACCCTACGCGCAAGCGAATTATTGAAATAAAAATAGACCATATGTTAGTACCGAAATGACCCAGTTTGTGTCAAGTGGACGTTAAACCCCATCTCTCTTTCACGAGGTTGGACAGGCGACCCTACTCCTTGTCACGTACAACCGAGGATTCGAAACCACGCCAGTTGACTCAATGACAGGCCTCATGATACAGCACGCATGTGCTAACCATTCGACCACCCCCCCCCCTCCCCGGTTGGTGGAGAAAAGCAGCTTATAGGCCCATTATTTCATTTAACTGCTCTCGCTTCTCGTTTTATGCTATCCTAAAGAAATGAAATGAAATGAAATGGGGTTTAACGCCTACTGTTCTGCTCCTATAACCTAGGATAATGAAGACGGGCATACGCCGGGCAGCGGCGCTACGGCCTACTCTTATATTGAATTCCAACTGCCAATGGATCTTTTACGTGCACTCCAATGTGTACACGGGACCTCGTTTTTCGCCCCATCCGAACGACTAGACAGCTGTCCTTGTCAGGCCCTCCGTCCTACATCACTGACAAAGGGAAACCACGGCGGAAAATCGGGATGAACTTTCTCGGCCAATGCAGGGATCGAACACCCATATCCTAAAGAAAGAGCTCAAGTATTTGGCACCTTTAAACTCGATTCGAGTAAATAGCCTAGCTACGTAATCTCATAATCATATATCGGGAATCCTGGTATATGATAATAAAGGTCATAACTGGTAGAGAAACAGATTGCTCCCACTATCGTTTATATTTTGACTTTTATGCTTGGGTCCAAATTCGTTTCGTTTTAAAAGATCCTGCATTCCAAAATTTTTAGGCAATGAGTCGGCGCACGTTTTGATTGACAGTCAGAAAATCGGCGCACTTGTCGTTGTTCTTTGTTATAAGAATTTTATTTTGAGAGAAAATATGTCGTTAGCTTTTGTTCCTTCCCAACAAAAGCCTAAAGGCCCACAACCTAATCAAGCAACCATACAAAAGGTAAGAGCAGCTACAAAATGTTTAATTGTCATTTTTCAAGGTGTAATAAAATGCGAGACAGAGTTATTCAAAGGGAGGTAATTAAATATTGCTGAACTGCACACGTTGAATTTCTTTTTCTCCATGCGATAGGCTACTATTACGCAAAAGCGATGGTGATGATCTTATCAAAAAAGGACTATTTCATGTACAACTTTGTAATTTGTCTTGGAAAACCTAGCCACAGCATATAAATGTATAGGCTACCGGTACTAAGGTCTAAAATTTCTACTGAATTGAGGAATAATATCAATGATTTTTTTTTTCACACTCACAGTCACACTGCCCGGTTGCTATTTCACTAATTTCAGGTCAGGGCTACACTTAGTTCCTTTAGGAAAGGTGTCTGATCGGACTACATGTATGTCCTTTCACCATTCCTGTTCATCCCTATTAAGTTGCAATAATAATAATATACACTGTAAGAATTCCACTTTACCCCAGTCCCACCTCTGTTCTGAACTACAACATTCTGTGAAATCCGACATCGGTTTCATGTCCAGATTTATTTCCTTATTACTTCAGCCAAAAATCTTTGAGTATTCTGTATTCTGAATATTCCGAATTACGACACCAATCAGTCGCAACGTCACACGATTTCGATTGAATCAACATTCCGGGTCCTGCCTTCAGTCCGTTGGTGTGAAGCCACAAAAGATTAACAAGCAATTACCAATCAATTATCGGTGAGATTAAAACTCGCTCACGTAGGTCTTTGTTGATTACTTTGATAATTTTATAACCTCTTGTAAGAGAACGCTCAGTATTTGATTTTAGTTTCTCATGTCAAATACAGCGACCATTATATAAAATTTGCCGCAATGAAGAATGAAGAATGAAGAATCAAAATGTGTGATCGTCCTGCAAAGCGTGGCAATACGGATTTGACCTTAGATGTCAAGCAGCAACTCACAGCAGATTCTGATTAGAAGAAAGCTCCACAACCTACATAGACACAGAGGGGAATAACGTTCTAGGGATTAGAAGCTACATTATAATAATAATTCCGGTTTTCGAAGTTAAGATAATACTTCCGGTTTTGAGAAAACTGAGTATTCCAACACGGCGTAATGCGACGTCGGATTTGACAGAGTCCGCTGTATTTTGGAATCTGTTCCGTTTATTTTTCACCATGATTATTCTTTGTTTGCTCTGGCACAAATTTATAATAGTTAGGCTGACCTTAAAAATATCTTTGTTTCACCAAACCCGACCCACAATCGAGGAGAAGGGTCGGTAGGTCGGTTTTTTTTTTCAGATTTTTTTTTAAAGTCAGAGAAATCAATACAGAAAACTTATTAGCTGTATACTACAGATTCATTAATTTTGTTTAATGAATTTGGGGTCTGACGTAAAAAGTAACGAACTGAAAGTTTTTATTAAACTTAAGAGCTAATTTGACAGCTTAATAATTTTCCGGGTGGAAACATTCGTCTTCTTTATTGGCAAACAAATCAATGACATCGGGATTTTTCGTGATGCCCGACTCGCACACGATTAGCCACGAACTTGAAGTGTGAAACTCCTTCAACACGTTTTTAACGATAGTGCGCGTTGTGCTTTCATTTTTCTCGAAAACGGATATTGAAAATATCGTCGTCATGTTTAAAACTACGCACCACAGACATAGAGGCAGAATTATTTCGTGGGAATGGACGTGTATTCGTCTGCAACCATTTTGTTGAGAAGCGACACCTATGACGCTTTCGTCTTGATCAACCAGTTTCAATAATGAATCAAACCATAGCCATAGTATAGGGAAATAACTCTCATGATATATTTCAGGTTGACACACAAAATAAAATAAAAAGATCGTGGAAAAGTGCAATAAAATAATTTAAGTCGGGGGTGGTTTTAGTTAGTCGGTCGCGTTAGGCGAAACAAAGATATTTTTAAGGTCAGCCTTAACACTATTTTCAAGCTGAATTTCGTGATTGACTTAATCAATTACCGTAATTCACATACTTGTACCATATTTCGTTCAAATAACCAACATGTTCAGTCTACCGGTGCTTGATGTAGGGGATAAGACTGGGAATCCCCTGGCAAAAAGTCCCCAACAATGGGACATAAGTATAAATAAAGATGAAATAAATTACATTGTGGGGCCCACCCATCAACAAAAGATATCTCCTTTTAGGCTTTTGAAAGCAACACACCTTTTTACTCAAAACTTTTTTTATGCATTTTGAAAGCAGTTACTGTTGTTTACCATGGCACATACATGTAATATTAGTTATAAATAAATAATCTGAACTGTTATTTTGTTATTTTAGATGTTGGATGAAAATAACCAATTAATTCAGACAATAGCTGATTACCAGAGTAAAGGCAAGGCTACAGAATGTCTACAGTAAGTTCAGTTTTCTCCTCAGATTATTTTCTCATGCATTTTACAAAGGCATTGGTTTGGAAATGAGAAAAAATAATGTAACTAAAGCACCTTGATTTTTTTTTTTTCTTTGATCAGTTTGTTCTCAGAAATAACTTATATTCATAAATTAATGATTTTCATTAGCAAACCCGATGGCAAGAAAAATCCAGACTTGTTAATGATTTTAATAGAAGTTGAACAGTATTTTCCTACTATCACAATATTCTCAAGTATTATTTCTACAGAACACATTGAGATTTTGATACTAAGGATTTTCAACTGTATATTTATATATATAGATTTACTGTTTGTGTTTATTTTTTATTCTCTTTACTTTTCTTTTTTAGGTTTCAACAAATTCTTCACAGAAATTTGGTTTACCTGGCTACTGTTGCTGATTCAAATCAAAATGTTCAAGCTCTGTTACCTGTAAGCTATTTTTTTTGTTTGTTTTGGTTTATTTGTATAAACTTGAAAAATTACAAAATTTAGAAAAGACTTGTATAATATTATATGCCAAATTGATATATGTGTAAATTGGCAGGAGCTTAACAAAACGGTAGATGATTGTTAAATGCCGGCTGGACCATATGTAATATACTAAGTTTTATACTTATTAAAACAGGCACCAGGTCAGATGAACAGTAGTAACGCTGGTAATATGCCACCCAATCAGTCAAATCCAATGAGACCACCTGGTAATCAGATGCCACCAGGTAAGTTCAACACATGCAGTAAAGGTTTATTGAAACACAGTGACAAATCCCATTGTGTAATAAGATCATGTATGATGATAGTATTGTACTATTGGTACTGGTAGTGATAATCTCAATCAACATCAGATGCATCGATTCAGCAGGAAATCTCCCTATCCTCATAAATTGAATTCTTGCAGTAACTCGTGTAAAAAAGAACCCAACTGAATTTTAGAATATTTAGATTTTCAATTTGGAATTATCTTTCCCTTCACATGTATTCATTACAGATGGAAATACTGATATAATCCCTAAAATGTAATTGAAAAGTAATTGAAGTGTATATGACCATTACATGATTTTTTGAATGAAATGTAATGGTCATATACATTTCAATTACATTTTTTGGAATATATTAGTATTTCCAACTACATGTACGAGAAGCCTCAAATTTTAACATTGAAGAAATGAATTAAGTATATCTGACAAAAATTCAAATCTGATACATCGATGATCAGAAATGTTTTTGATTATCATATCATTAAGAAATATTTTGTAATGTTTGTCTCTCCCATCTGAAATTGAGTTATTTTTTTAGAAACATCTTTGACAAAGTCATTGACATGTTCTTGTAGGTGGTTCAATACCTGGTTCTAATCAGATGCCACCTGGATCTGGTCCAAGTCAAGGAATGCCACCAAGTAGTCAAGCAGGGTTCAATAACTCTATGCCAGGACCTCAAGCCCAGGGGAATACAGGCTATCCAAGACCTAATATGGTACAGCCACCAATTCAAGGTTCAGCACCAACTGGCATGATGAATCCAGGTTAGAATTTTAACTAATTTTATTCTCTGGTTGCTGCTTGTGTACAGTCAGAATCATGGACAGTTTCTAATTTTATTATATGTTCATTTAGTAGATCTCAAATTATTGTATAAAAATGTCTTTTTGTTTTTGTTTTGAATGGATGTATTTTATGTGAATTTCCATTAGTACCAGGTTAGGATTGGTTAACAATTTCCAGTGCAAGTTCCAAATGTTCCTCAAATACAGCTGACAACTTTTACCAATTTAACTAGCGAGCAGTATTGGGTGTGTGGTCAACTTTTGACTCACAAGAAGGGGAGTATAAAATCAATATACAAACCAAAACCCAAATCTGATTGCCAGAAAAAGCAAGAAAATGTTGTTTCTTCTTACATTGTCCTCCAGTTTATTCACTCTACTTCAATGACATTATCTTGTTTGACATTATCTTGATTGTGATGGTATGGAATACAATGCATTTGCTTCCAATTTCAGGATGTAATGTATATTCTTGTTTTCATTCAAAATTGGTTTTGTACATAACCCTAACAATTTATTTTCTAGGTCAGGGAATGGGTAACCAAGGGAACATGCCCCATTATAACCCACAAGGTGGATATCCAAATCAACAACAACCTATGATGTCACAACAGCAACCTATGATGTCTCAGCCAAATCAACCAATGATGTCTCAAAGTGGAGGTCAGATGATGAATAGCCAATCGGGACCACAGAATAGTAATATGATGGGTAACCGACAGATGCCTCCAAATGCATACCGACGTCCACAAGGTTAGCAGATCTAATTTTCATCATATCTTTAAAATAGAGCTGGGCGATAATCCTGAAAACAAATATTGTGATGTTCAAAGTTCAACATTGATCTAGCCACGAAGCAGTGTTGGGATTTCAAAAATTTTCTTGTTGGACATTTTCACCGAAAATGAAGTTGCATAACTCTTATTTTTAAAAATCATGTGTCGACAAAATATTCAAATTCATACATGTACGTAATAAAAATAGGTGCACCTCATTATTTTTCATATTTAATTCCCGTACAGTATTCAAATTTATGTCGGTAATATTTCTACAAAATTATGTGTTTATCGTAATACGATAGAATGAAAGCATGCCGACTACTGTCGACCCATACTTTCTTCAAATTCACCTCCAAAATCACCGTATTTTTCGGGGTACAAGTCAAAACATTCTTCAGCAGAAGTCTGGCATTCATCTTACACTCCATTTAGACTTCTGTACGGATGGAATTTAAAAAAAGAGTAGACTGTAGTGCAGCTGTCCGGGCAAATCTTACAATTTTATTCCGTGAAAATAGTATGAGAATATAGTATGAAAATGATAGCAAAATTTTTTTTAATTTGTCTAAGACACATAGAGCTGGGAGTGTAAAATCAATAGAAACTGCTGTGCACTTACACCAAGTTATTCAAGTCATTAGAATATTTGCATGGGTAATGCGGAGGTTTAAAAAATTCATTAAATGGTGATAATGTATTTTTAACACCATGTACAGACTGGGTGTGGTTTTCTTTTATATTGATTTTAGTTCTTTACCAGTAAATGATTTTAATTTTCTTTTGATTTGATTAGGACCTGGACAACAATTTAACCAACAGAACTATCCCCCACAACAGATGGGATCCCAGCAGTCATACAACAACCCACAAGGTCAAGGCAACTTCAATCAACCCCAGGCGTATAATCAAGGGTCAAACATGCCTCCTCAAGGACAGTATTATCCCCAGGGACAGTCACAACAACGGTTCCCTCATTTTAATCGACAGGGCAATATGCCAGCAGGAGGAAATATGCCAAACAATCAGATGGGAGCAAGTGGGCAGTTACCAGGAGGTGGGATGCAGCCTATGCCTCAAGGACAGATGGGTAACCAAATGCCTAGTCAAGGACAAAGTGGTAATTTTCAGTATAATCAGGGACAGTTTTAATGACCTTACTTCATAGTGACTGTTTCAGATTTATTAACTGATTTCGAAACCACCAAATTATTAAAAATCATTTTAGATATAGTTTCAGCCAATTGGATACTATTTAATTTGGCATTGCATAGTCATTAGACTAAATCCCCACCAATCCAGGATCATTCTTAAACAAGGGTATCATATCTTTTTGGGGTATTTGACCTTCATCATCATTTTTTAAGATCTCTGTTGCAAATTCTAGTCAACCCACAAAACTATAGTTACTCCATTTTTTTTTTTCAAGAAAAGTGGAGGTGATCAGTTGAATACTTTTGTACATATATCAGAAATGAGTATTTTGGTCTGTGTGGGTTTGAAGTTTAAGAAAGAATTGGGCCATGACCAGATAGTACCAAGTATTTTTGTCACATTGACAATTTGTGTAAATTATTCCAGCTATCCTTGTGGCTTACTGTTTCTGTAAAGATGCATTTAAAGAGATGGTCATTCTTGCTATAATAGTTCAAAATGAACATATTGAAAATTTCAGTGAAATTACTTAAGTTAAGGAAGTTTAAAGTTTTGGCAAATACCATTGCTACGATGATAAACAGTTTTGAGTATCCATTTTAAAGATAGATTATAATATGGCCATGGTATTCTAATCCATTCAAAATCACTACCCTCGGATTGTCGAGAAAGATAATTAAGGGCTTGTCTTGTGAATGAATTCCTAATTAATAATTAATGTAATATTTGCAACTAGAAAAAGACCTATTGGTAGGGTGACCCACCATAAATAAATATCTCCATATATCTCGACAATTACGCCACAATATTTATATATATGCCAAGCCTCAAATCAGTTTCTCACAATTATAGTCACTAAATAAACGATCATGTTGTACTTAATAAGCTATGACCATTAATCATGTATAAATAATAGACTGAAAACTGGTTCCAAGAGTCGTCCATAACATCCAGACACTTTTGAGTAAAAGATAGGTTACGTGCCCTTGTTTTGAAATTAGTCTCGCTTAACCAGTCTATCGACCATTCTACGTCTGATTGACAGGTCGGGATAATCAAGACTACTTTTTTACGAAACGTAACAGAAAGCTAGAACAAGAAATTGAATTTAGAAATAAGGACGTTAGGTAGCTCAACAATCGTTTTAAGAAGCTTGTAAAAGTAAAATGAAACTACTGCTAGTATCATGTTCCTGCCTAACCCGAGTGATTCAGAGATATTATTTGTACTAAACCAAAAGATGCCGCTCTTAACGGTACAGTTAATGATAAAGCGATTTAAAAAAATGAAACGAACGTAATTTCTAAATCTGCTGTAATAACCAAGAAGCTTAATTTAACTGCTATTCAAAATCGTCAACAATAAATTTTTTACGGCTGTAATAGTTGATAGATTTTAGAGAATTGCACGTGCCATGGCTATTTATAGTATCATACTGTCAGAAAGTTGGTCTCGGCACGGCGAATGTGCACGCTTCAGTGGTAGTCTCGAACTATCAGCGGTAGACTGTATTTCTGTGAGTACATGGGTCACCCTACTATTGGCAGAATTAACTCTTACATAATGCATCCTTAGTATCCTATTTGATGTGACAGATTACTTAAAAATTTGCTTTAAACATTATATTGGCTTCATTTAATAAATGTTCAAATGAGATTAATTGTAGATTTATATACTGACTGTATATTTGGAGATTATTTTTTTTAAAAAAAAGTTTGTTATAAATACTGAGAAAAAAAAAGGTTTATTTGTAAATATATACTGTGACACAAGTGCCAGCCAACACTTATCACTTTTAAAATTTGTAAAATGATTTGATGTTTGAGATAATTTGCTTAGTGCTATATTAGTACTATAATACATGTATGTACATATATTGTTCAGGTCCTTGTTGCAGAAAGTACATTTAATGCTTACACTATTGATAAAATTTAAAGACAATAATAAAAATATTGCTATTTCAAACTATTGGGGATTTGGCTGTCATTGTATAAACAATTGATGCCTTTATACCCGACACTGCAAGTTTAGCTGTGTTTGAGTGACAGGTCGACATATTACAAGGGCGATTGCTATCATCTGTCATTATGTTGTCATCTAAGCAACTTTTTTCAGATGCCACACCTTGTCTTGGAATAATATCACTAGGCCCACTTCCCTGTTAGTTAGGTTGACTGAAATTTTGGAATGCAAAAGAAGTAACAATAAAAAGACATACAGAAAAAGAGCATAACTGATTAAGCTGATTTGGGTGTGTCTAATTCTTGAGCACACATTTTCTTAGACAGCTCTGTTGAACTTATATGGATGTAAATTGATGTATTCTTTTTGCAATGAGACCCTGGTTTGTTTAATTCACTGCCAGACTGCTGTTATATTAGCTATTATTTAATTGTATTCATCTTGAACCACGAGTATTAGTATAGAAAATTTTATTACATCGAAAGTAGATTGTAAGGTTATACTGCTATAGTGAGTAGCAGATTTACCATCAAATTTGATGTAAACTGGGTGATGTTTTCATTCCGTTATTTGTTGTTTACTCCATTAACATCTAGAAACATGATTATGAGAATTTTAATCTGGACCTTTGTTGACTTTATAATACATTAGGCAAAAATAGAAGGATGAATAATATATATTGTCTCTTATTACATTTTATGTATGATGGATTTTGATGGTATGTGTATTTTTAGTCGACTAGTCTTGCATATTACTGTGCAATAAGAGATCTCTTTAGACTGAAAAAGATTTAGGTGTACCTTTATTGGGAAAAAAAAAACCCAAACAAAATGTCAACATAATTTTAATTGGCAGAATAATTTTTTGGTTTGGCTTTCATAAATTCAAGGTTTCAGTGCACTAAAATGATTTGTGTGAATTTGTACAGTTTTAGAGATGTTTTTGTGCCACCCATGATAAAAATCATATGTTCAGTTGTTGTGTTTAATTATTTGATTCACTGTTTTGGTAAAAACTTTTAATATACATTGCCTTTGCAAATTGATTGCTTCTATCCATGTATGTAATTATTCACACAGAATAGGAAAAGTGCTAAAATGTTTTTCTTTGATTTTGTTTTAAAAATTAGCTCAGCTTTGTATTTACCACAGAATGTACCAGTGTTTTTTTGGTAGTATATTAGGCTAATTAAAATAAATTACTTGTTTTTCATAAGGTGGTGCAGGGAATTTAAACTTGAGATTGTTCTTTCTGTAAAGTCCAAGGTGAACAAAGCAGATAAGATAAAACAAATTTCTAAAGAACAATATTTTTCCAAATCTTAACATGACTGTTTACTTTCAAAATTTTGGTATGTTTATTGTGCTTTAATATTATAAGTTCATACTTCTCTGAGTCAATAATTTTTTTATTACTTCATTTTATGTCTTTCAATTATCAATCAAAAAAAATTGGTTTCCAAAATATACCAGAAGTGTTAAATACATGTATACATTACAGTATTATATGAGATGTGCCTTGCATGCTTTTCTATAGTTAAATCTTTCAAATAAATCCTATATATGACCGGACACAACACAAGACTTACAATAATGGGAATTGATATGTTTGAGGTATTAATGTTTTGTAGAACAATATATTTATGTTTTTGTGTAAATTTAGCAACAATTTGCAGACAAAAGAAACTAAGTAAGGTTAACTGCATATTATACAAGACAGTCCTAGCTCTAGTTAGAGAAATATAAGTATGTCCTTTTTTGTGAATCCTAATTAAAATTTAGTGGATTGTTGAAAACCTATATTTTCATCTCTTTTATGGATAAAGCAAAAATTAGAATGTGTCTATATATTTGAATCGAAATCAGTGCCACATTTTAAAGGAAAGTTATTCAATTTTATATAGAATACCACAAGTGAACCAAAAATTGTATTTTAAAGGACTGACATTATTGGAACTGGTCTACAGTTACAAATATCGTATTTAAGTCATTCCTGTGAATCTCACACTAACATAGATATTTATTAACGAGAAATGGTTTTCATTCAATTGTAAAAATATTTGTTTGGAATAAATTGGTAAAAGGGTGTGTATATTTGTTTTTTTTGTGTGACTGTTACTTGAAAGAAAGTTGGTCAATTCAGAGGTGGACTACAATAACCAAGTCTTATCAGAATTCCTCAGAAAAGAGTTCCTATTAATATCGAGAAAAAGAACATAATTGGTGAAGAACTGGAGTTTGAAATCCATAGAGTACTGTGGCATTCAAAAACAGTTGTCATGCTTGGTAAACATCCATTTTTGGCAGTATGAAACTGCTTGATGGATTTTAACCCTTTTTCCTAACAAACTCAATGGATTATAACCAAAATTGGTGGACTTATCCTAAACAGCTTTATGGATTTGAATGGCTGAGGGAACCATGGCCAGTAAGAAAGATTCGCTGAGAAAGCTCACCGTGATTTTCCAGCATGGTTTCCCATTGTCAGTGGTGCAGCAGGACCAGATAAGGACAGCGGTCTAGTCATTAGGATGGGATGGAAAACCAAGGTCCCGTGTACACATTGACATGCATCTAAAAGATTCCTTGGCAGTTGGAATTCGATACAAGAGTAGACCTTAGCACCGCTATCCGAGCAAAATTTCCATCACAGAACACTATGGCGTATGCCCATCTTCATTAGCCCAGTTGGAGCAGAACAGTAAGACGTTAAACCCTATTTCATTGGCTGATGCGTGAGAAGATTTGTTCTAATAATGTTAATTAGTCATAAAGAGACTGGACATTGAGATATTGATTACAACCACAAATTTATAAATTAGCTGGGTAGTGCTTGTTCAAACGATATTACTTGGGGGGTGGCACATTTTATCTCTTTTTGTGCTTTAGTTCCAAAATTTTGTTCAGGTCAGATGACCCATGGAGAAAATAATGATGTGGCTTTCATATTTTCACTTAGGAAAATCTTCAGTGTACAATCATTAAACAATGCATACTGATCAGCAGGTACCATTCTGCCCGGACCAGTATGGTCTTATGTAAACAATATACGCACTCTTTATACAGAGTTATAAGAAGGCTTTCACATTACCTCTATGAAACAGATTGTAACAAATGGGAATTTAAAAAGGCTCTTATTATTTGTAAATTCCAATTGAACTCTAAATTCATAATGAAATGGTTGCAGAGATTAAGACTACAGCTGCCAGTTTCCAATTCACAACATTTAGCTCAAGTATTTAAAGGGTGCTAAAATAATGAAATGGTTATTACATACTGAGAAAGACTCTACATCCAATCCACAACATTTAGTAAAATGGCAGTGAAAAAAGACGACAACTCTGTAAGGTACATGTAGGTCTTGTGTAGCTGGAGACTAATAGTAGTAGGACATCTGAACTGGGATCTCGGCAATACATAAGGGGTTCAGGAAGACGACGATATATAGCGAGATGCAACCCCTGTAACCAGTGTAGATTAGACGAACTCCATGGTTGAAATAAACAGATTTATTGGTTTAAATGTTTGGGACAAGTGGTGTCCTTCTTCAGTCAGATTAACTGAAGAAGGATGTACACCACTTGTCCCAAATGTTTAAACCAATAAATCTGTTTATTTCAACCATGAAGTTCGTCTAATCTACACTAGTTACAGGGGTTGCATCTTGCTACATTTAGTAAAATGTTATTTGTATTTGTATCGTTCCAGTTAACGGGTGCTCAAACATCATGATTAATTATCAATAAATTTATTTACAAGATAACAATGGAAGGAAACAATTGAATAAAAATTAAAATGCATAAAGACAAGAACATTTTCAATAAAATTGCAAAATATAATTCCTAGCAGTTTGCGAAATGAATATCATATAATGAACAAACATTGTAAATTTCAGTAACAATATTTTCAAATCCACTTTCCTTAAGATATATTTAAAAAGGTAGATCGTACAGTTTACTGGTAAAAGTAAACACTGCAACATTTCTTGCCAAGTGTGCCAGAGATATTATAGTTGTCTCCCCTTGTTTTGGGTATTTTGTTTTATTTGCATAGTGATTGTTCCCCAGCCCTAAAAGTAAATTCATAACTGTTTTCAACTGATAAAAAACATTTAACCAAAACTGGCAAGCAATAAACCCAACCTTTTATGAAAAACTATACAGGAAATGGGTTTTTATAGGCATCATCCTTTTTAAAGATTCTTATACATATATGTTTATCACTGAATATGGCCCAAACCACTCAACCATCAGCTTGTTGCACTATTACTTTTCGTATTTTGATTGGCTGAGATATTTCTATGGAGGAGTCGCTAGAGGTAGAGTCAGAATCACTACTGTGGTCGTCATAGAAACCAATACCTGGTAATATACCTATAACTTTAGCTGTTTGTTGTTGTGTTGGTGACGAATTTACATCTGAATCTATAAAAGACCAGAATATTATGTCAGTTGATTTCATAATTTTCATGTGTAAAACACTTTAAAATATATATAAATTTCTTTATCATATTCTTTGATCCAAGTTCAATTCAATCTAGAACAATTCTGTGGTTTCCAGAAAGCTTCTTCAAGTTCCTATCATGAACTGTTCACAAACTAACTATCCACAAACAGAAGAGAATGCGAGTGGTGATCAGAGCTTGGCTGGCAAAATTTTGAAGTGAAAGTGAGATAGAGAGAGAAATGGGGTTTAACGTCCACTCAACACAAACTAGGTCATTTCGGGTCTAACATATGGTTCAAATTTATTTCAATAATTCGCTTGCGAGTAGGAGTCTTTAGCAGTGGGAGGAAACCGGGGGACCTGGAGAAAACCCACGAGGTTGGACAGGCGACCATACTCCTTGTCACGTACAACCAGGGAATCGAAACCACGCCAGTTGACTCAATGACAGACCTCATGATACAGCGGCACGTGCTAACTATTCGGCCATCCAACCTCTCTTAAACATGCATTATGCAAGAGCTATAAATCTGCCTATAGCAGGTCTTTCTTTAGACCTGAAATGTTATCTAAACTATTGGACATTTATTAACCTATCCAGACCATAATCAACTCTAGATGATTTGAATGAAATTTTCAGCAAATTGCCTTTACATCATCTAGTTTTTAACTATTGTAGTGAGAACTACCAACTCTTTATCAAATCTCCCATAATGTATCTTTAAGTGAAATTTACCACACAAAATACAAAACACAGCAAATATTTACCTTTATCTAATTTTGCTATTTTAGAATCACCATGATCATCAGTGCTGTAAATAATAGAAGAAAACAGTACAAAATACATTTGAAAACCTGGTAATCATAGACGCTATAATTGGTCTTCAATTTATCAGGATGTATAAACTAAATTATCTACCACAGAATCAGACAGAAAGCAATTTGAACAAGTTATTGTGTCCCAAAAAGCGTGACAGATAAGACAGATCCATTTTAATAGTCCCCTGCTTTCTTTGAAAGGCGGGGGACAATAATCATTAATATTTCAAAACTTATCACAATATTTCTCTAAAGACAAAGAATCGTGGAGAGGCAAATCTTTTAAGTAGCTTTTTGACAGAAATCATAAGAATTAAAGAGAAAAACTCTCTGTCCAATTCTGTGATTAAATGGACAATTCCCAACAATGCAAGCGTTTTTTTAGAAACCACCTTATATCATTATTATAACCAATGTCTTGACAGTTGACATAAATACAAGTTTACTAATTACAAGTTTACAAATTACAAGTTTACTTATTTCAGTCTTATTCTTTAAATATAAGTTGATGTTGGAAAAGATGATCTAATTAATTGCAAAGGAATATATCTTTACTACTTATGCAAGAAAACAAAAGATTTTATCTTGGGGGTGGAGCAGGGGTACATATCTTGAAGAATATTTTATTACAGAGTGAAAATACATGCAAAAATTCTGAAGAGTTTTATTCACCTTTTCCGTTTGACAGCACCAGCTAATAAAGATTGTTGTGATCTTTTAGATGAAGATGCCACTGGTTGTGATTTTGATGCTGATGGTTTGTCATTTTTTTTATCATCTGTTAATTTAGATATAGATGCATTGTAGGGTAAATTAAGGAAAAATAAAGAGCTTCTTTAGTGGATGTTCATAAAGAAAACAGTACAAATAAAACATGACTACAATTAATTACATTTGGTCACATTTGAAAAAACAAAGTTAAATGAAATGGGGTTTAACATCCTACTGTTCTTCTCCTACTGGGCTAATGATGACGGGCATACCCCATGCAGTGTGCTATGAGGCAAATTTTGCCCGGACAGCAGCTCTATGGTGTACTCTTATTTCGAATTCCAACTGACAAGGGTTCTTTTATGGGCCTGGCAATGTGTACACAGGACTATACATTTTCCCTTGCCTGACCCTCCATCCTACATCATTGACAAAGAGGATCCACACCGTAAAATGCTGATGAACTTTCTTGGCCAACAGAGGGATTGAACACGGGACCTCCAGGTTAGCAAGCTAACATCCTATCCATTGAGACACCGTGGCTCCCACATGAAGTTAAACCTCCTCCTATTTGGCACCAACCAGGCTAATGAAGACATACACCATGCTATGAATACAATTTAGCCCAGATAGCTGCGCTGCGGTCTGCATTTATTTTGAATTCAAGCTGTTAAGGTTTCTTTTACGTGCATGGCAACATGTACACAGGTCCTTGTTTTTTTTCATCCCATCCAGGTGACTTGACACTGTTCCTTGCTAGTCCCTCGATCCTGCATCTGTGACACGGGGAAACCCTGAATAACTTTCACGGTCATCCCAAAATTATATATCATAATAAGGACTGAACATCAGTTACTCACTAAATTTGCATGTGTTAAAGGCTCAATACCACTCTTGTTGTAACTGAATAATATGTCCCAATCTTTATTCTGGTCAACAAATTGTACTATTTTAGAATATTTCAATTAATTGATGATACAAATTTCATCTTAACACACCTTATTTAAAAATTTTGAAAAATTCAACATAATGGTTTGAAACATCTAACGTAAACCTTTTCAAATGAAACTTCGATTTAAAAATATTTTCGAACCCTCTGGACAAGTAAAATAGGATGTAATGGATAATTTACACAACAGGTAGGACACTTAAACATCTAGTACTTAATAAAAAGAGTATTTGCTATGATATCAAACCTAAATAACAATGGAGTTCTTCATTTAGAATTATAAATCTATTTATAGATATATTGTGTTGTCATTCAGAGACTAAATGTCCTGCAAATATTTCAACAATTGCCAAAAATATATAGACATTGTCCTAAAATGACAGTTATCATTTGCCTTCAAATAAAATTGCCATAATATGACAAGTACAACAAACATTGACTTGCCTCAGACTTGTTACAAGTCAATGACTAATACAAACTGTTTGGTTAGACTTATATAATAAGGTGTGATGCTTGCCTTCTCGCCTTTCGAGAGAGTAACAATTTTCTCTACTTGCATTTTTCTACAGCAAATTCATTTATGGGATTAAACATTATTTTCATGCTTACATAGTCATAAAAACAAAGGATATTTTTAATTCTTCAAAAACTGATTTTTCTTCTGAACGTATTGCTTTTTCTAACTGAATCTGTCTCTCGGACACTTCATCTAAAAATCCAATTTCATCATCTTCTAGACCTTTTATTGAGTTCTCTGAAAAAAAAGTTCCGTCTTTTTATTCTTGTTTACATGAACCTGATTCAAATACAGATTATCTTTTTTTATACTTCCGATGGCCTTCACGACATGAAGATCTGACCGGTTGTAGTCGGAAGTTGAGTCAGGGGTCATACGAGCCGCTTTTAACTCTATGACATCAGATATTTGTTTAACCAATCAGTGTTGATGTTTCTAGTGGGTATTTAGAAATACAGCTTTTGCTTTGTCTGCGCTGCGAATGTCTACACACATAACCCCTCACATCAACCAGAACATGGATTATATAACAACTCTTCCAGATCCTAGTGTAGTAAAGACGAGTAAAATGAAATTTTGAACCATAAAAAAACGGAACGACTGAATGGTTAATGTGTGCACGTTACATCATTAGGTCAGTCATTGAGTCAAGTGGCGTGGTTTTGATTCCTGCTGGGTCCTGGCCTGACAAGGACAGCTGTCTAGTCGTTCGGATGGGACATAAAACCGAGGTTCTGTGTACACATTGGTGCGCAAGTAAAAGATCCCTTGACAGAGTTGGAATTCGATTTAGGAGCAGTGTTTGTCTCATGAGGACATTAAATCCCCATTCTCTCTCCCGATGAGGAATTCATGATAGTTACAGGCACTTACATGTAAAACACAGAAAACAGAAGTACCAGGATTTTATTATGAACATACAAAAAGAGCTTGGATTCATAGTTTATAAAAAGAAAAAATGATTTTCTACATACTAAGCTTATGCTGTTCATTCCATTCATCTTCTTTTGCCAATTTCTGATCCTGTAATTGCTCAAATAATGATCTGGTGTCTTCTTCCGGACATTCTATAAAAAACACAAACCAGATTTAATTCCATATCATGAGACTGTTCACATATAGTAATTGGTCAGAGATCATTTACAAAAATGCCATCCACAACTACCAATAACACATCATAACTGAACTGGAAGCCTTGCAACTGGTTTGTAATCTCAATCTAAATGCCATTTTGAGTTTGAAAATTTAGAATAGGTTTGTATATTTATTTAAATGATCAATAAATTCTTCTTTTCGTTTAGGGGGGGGGTCACAGTGGCTAAGACCCTGGCCCGCTAGCCTAGAGGTCGGGTGTTCGATCCCTGCATTGGCCGAGAAAGTTCATTCAGATTTTCCGTTGTGGTCCCCCCTTATCAGTGATGCAGGGCGAAGGGCATGACAAGGATAGCTGTCTAGTCGTTCGGATGGTACAAAAAACTGAGGTCCCATGTGCACATTCACGTGCATGTAAAAGATCCCTTGACAGTTGGAATTCGATATAATAATAGGCCACAGTGCCGCTGTCTGGGCAAAATTTCCCTTGCACACTGTTTGGCGTATGCCCGTCTTCATTAGTCCAGTTCAGAGCAAAACAGTAGGACATTAAACCCCATTTCTTTCCGTTTAGGTAAATTCAGTATCAGAATGAACTATAGGCACAATCCACAATAAATAATAGGCTACCCGGAAGTGGACATGGATCTGGATTAGTAAAATAGTCATGGAGTTTAATTTTGTAACACCAATTTCTATTTTAGTATGTGGCCAAGATATCTAACTTTTCTCTTATTTATACAATTTTACAAACTCAGCAATTATACCTAATGGTTCATCTGGTTTTCTAACTCTTTCCCAGTCTTCTTGTCTTTTCTTTTTTTTCTCTGCAACTTCTTCTGCAGATTCAAACTGTTTAAAGGCAAAACCTGAACCTGATGGCTGGTTTCCACCGAAACTCATTTTAAAAAATCTGAAAAAAAATAACATGATTGATGATGTACCGGTACTGATGATGTACTTAAACCAAGTCACCAATATGGATAAAACAACTGATCTCAGATTTTTGGACCTTTAGTTGTAGTGTCGTACATATTACCAATAAAGAGGCATTTGGGAAGATTAGATAAAGAGCTGACAGTTCTCGCTATATACAGTGTAGTTTCAAAATAAATAAGGACAGGAGAATATGCAGAAAATTTCAGTCAAATTACTTCACTTTGAGCCTAGATATCAATGATACAATTATACTATTATAGTAATAATTAGCCTACTAGTACTACCAATGCTACTATAACTATAAGTATCCACAACGTTACTGCTTCGGGCAGAATGCAGTCATTTTAATACCCATTTACACTAAAAAAGAAATAATTTTTACCTACAAATACGTCAAATGCCTTTATTTATTTTTCCAGTACATAAAAAAATATGTTTTAGAATTTAATTTGTCGCAGGAAAAAAGTTAATATTTCTAGCTCATTAAGTCGCATCGATGTCATCCTTATCAGTGATTGTAGTGGCCTTTGAAAGTTAATAATGTCTAATTAATAGTTTATACAACTTTTCAGGCCTAAAGAAAGACCTGCAGTAGGTAGATTTGGCTCTTGCATAATGCCTCTTTAAATAACTCAGAAAAGGATTTTTTTTTTTTTTGTACGGCTTATTCATATCAGCCCTAATACTACAAGACAAAGACGTCTGATGATGGTTTGGTAGGCCTACTAAATCAATTTAATCATTAGCTCTAGGCCTGATATATATGTCATGTACTGACTCATTCAATTCACCAATTTCATCTGTACATGTAAGCTAGTTTCTCAGCAAAGAATTAGAGATGTATCCCTGTCAAATAAGCATGCAACCCATACAGAATAAGAAAGGGTTGCACGTCATAACAAAAAGAAAATACAATAAACTAAGCTTTGGTTTGAGAAATAACAAACATATAGGCCTACTCATGAATGATCATTTTCATATTCTTATTTAACAAGTTAGATGTTTGTTATTCTGACGGCGTGTGAACGGAACCTCTCGGCACCCAGTAGTAATCATAATCCCAACTGCAAAAACGTGCAAGCAGAATTAGGAGACGAGAAGCAACTAGTACTGGCATTTGGAATATTATATGAAAATAAACTCAGTAGGCCTAGACTAAATTTCGTTGTAATTTCACTGTCCCACAGGCTAAGTTTACTGAAAGAAAACGATTAAATTACATGCAATGTATCTGAAAAACATTTACGTTTGCAGTTTCAAAATAGAGTAAACGTCGCACAGGGACGGAAACAGGAAGTTGAGTGACTCGGTTGCCGAAATTTGGGAATTGGCAGGATAATTAACCCGAACCGAATTAAGAGACAAAAATGTCTGAAATTAACGGGTTCGAGGGGATTTTAAGTCCCATACCCTTGCTATTTACTTGATAGCACACTATATGACGTATACCCGTCTTCATTAACCCAGTTTAGGAGCAGAACGGTAGGACGCTAAACCCATTTCATTTCACTTCATTTCTATTAACAATTTTAAAAAAAATATAAGGATTTGGTACAATGAAGTGCCTCTCTTCAGTGACACCTGGAGCGGCTTCTTGTCATACCCCTCGCAGTGTTTCGTTTGATTAGACCTAAGCCCACTCAAACACAGCTGTAACAAAAGCAAATTTCTGTTCCAAATTATGACTGGTCAATAGTCCGATTAACAAACAATACCTAACTGCGTAACAATATCATTCGGGTTTAAACAGAGCTCCAAATATGTTTACATAACGTTACGTTATGACTCACGAAATTTATTGCGTCCAATTAACCAGTACATAGCAGAATATTGCAGAAAAACTAATTGCGTGACAAACAAGGTTATCAAAACGGCTACTGCTTGGAGACGAACAATATATTCGCCGTTTTTAATACTTAAATCACTGTCCAAATTTTTGGGGAAGACCCCAGGTTAAATAATATAATATATGCCAGAACACAACAGGTGCAAATAAACAGGTCTGTGTCTCAACCCTCTGCTGTTCCACAAGGATCTGTATTGGGACCTCTACTTTTTCCCTTAGATATTCTTCCAATTGGTCAAATCATAAGAAGACATGGGGTACAAAACCACTGTATGACTACTTTCAGCACAACAGCTATCTTGCTTCCAAGGATTCTATCAGTACTAGAGTTTTGTTTGAATGGCATTCGAGGAAGAATGACCAGAAATGGCTAAAACTTAACGATGACAAATCCGAATTTCTTGGCATATCATCAAAATCACAATCCAGTAAATTGTTAAAAGCGGATTCCATTCAGATCGGTGATTGCTCTATATCTCCCAAGAAGCAGGCTAAAAATCTTGGCTATGTGACCGATGAATTTATGTCCTCAGTTCCCCAAAGCAATAGTATCACATGGAAAATGCATCTTCAAAGCTTTTTCGATAAAACGCTCTAATCTTAATACTCGCCAGAGTGTTGTTAGAGCATTAGTAACATCGCATATGGACTATGCAAATTTACTTCTATTAGGAGCACCAAAAATAGCTTTAAACAGACTACAAATAGCGCAAAACAACGCTGCACGTCTTATAACAAAAACAAGAAAATTTGATCATATATCAGCTTAGTTACAGAAACTCCATTGGCTTCCAGTTCGAGCGAAAGTTCAATTTAAAGCCCTTGTGCATGTGTGGAAATCAATTTATAATGTTACTGCTCCCAGTTATTTAAAAGAACTCTTTGATTTCTACAATCCCCGGCGATCCAACCTTCGTTCGCAGCATATTGAGGATTCCTAAATATAATAAGAGTTCTGGTGAATATGCTTTCTCCGTCAGAGAAAATCTTCCAAAATCTCTTGGGGAGTCCCTCTTCCATTCAGAGCTTTAAGACAACTTAAAAACATATTTAATTCAAAAATGTTTATAAACTGTTTTGTTGTGAATGCGGTTAGAAACACTCATGTGTAATGAAGCGCTATAAAAATCGAACAATAATATCGTCCCATTTCCCCGCAACATGGCAGCCATATTAGAATTGCTAAACATATGAAAATAAATGGCTAAACTTCAAAAAATGGCTTACCACATTAGGAAAACCTACTCAAAATAAATGTCAGCATTGGTTGTTTTTTTTCTGTTTTTTTTTTGTCGTTAAAATTAATATCAAAACCTTCAAAATAAAGCTTATTCCATGATTTCTTCCCGAAAAGCCGACGGATGGGGGTTATGCAAGAAACTGCATGGATCGGATTATGTGAGTCACTTCTGCATTTTCCAGAAAGAACTATTTTATACTCTCTCTCTTATCTCGAGATATGCAGGTTCGAGGGATTTGATTTCTTATCTAGGTACTTACACATGGCCAGGTGACATTTATATGGGGACTACCACTACATACGTCCGAAGATATGTTATTGTTATATCGGACAATCTTATTGCAGTACGCGGATTAAATATAAATACATAACGTGATAAAGAAAATATACTCGAAGTATGACCACAATGCATTCATCAGGGGTAAAATTCATGCGTTTCTAAAGATCATCTTATCAAATTGCTGTAGGTAAATTAAATATGCACGGATAAGATTGGTGTTCGAACTTTGGCGAGTGACTGTGATAATGAAAGCATATCCCGAAGCTTTATCGAACTAGAAAAAATATTAAGTTATCGTGTTTCAAATAGTGTGGTGGAATTTAATTAACCAAATATCACTTAAATAGCCCGACTGTGCTAACGAAGACGGGCATAGCCATACAGTGTGCTATGGGAAATTTTGCCCGGGCAGCGGCACTCTGGCCTACTCTTACATCGAATTCCAACTGTGACTTCGGTTTTTCGTCCCATTCGAACGATTAGACAGCTGCCCTTGTCAGGCCCTCCGTCCTACACCATTGACAAGAGAATCCACGTTGGAAAATCCCGATGAACTTTCTCTGCCGATGCAGGGCTCGAACACGCAACCTCCAGGCTAGCGAGCCAGCGTCTTACCCACTTAGCAACCGTGGCTCCTGAATATCACTGAAAGATCGTAGCTTTCAGTGCTAGTACTACTAAAAGCTGACAATCCTGAACCCATAAACAACCCTATAAATATTGCAGATATTTACTCCAACCGTTGGCGGTTCAGTCTACTGTATGCTAATATAATAATATATTAGTTAAAAATAATGACAAAAGAATAGAGAAATGAAATGAAATGAAATGGGGTTTGATGTCCTACTGTTCTGCTCCTATACTAGGCTAATAAAGACGGGCATACGCCATACAGTGTGCTATGAGGGAAATTTTGCCTACTCTTATATCGAATTCCAACTGCCAAGGGATCTTTTACATGCATTCCAATGTATACACGGGACCTCGGTTTTCCGTCTCATCCGAAGGACTAGACAGCTGTCCTTGTCAGGCCCTCCGTTCTGCACCACTGACAAGGAGAAACCACGTAGGAAAATCCCGATGAACTTTCCCGGCCAATGCAGGGATCGAACGCCCGGCCTCTAGGCTAGCGAGCCAGCGTCTAACCCACCTGGCCACCGTGGCTCCCTAAAGGAATAGGGACCTACACAACAAGGAATAGGTACCTACACAACAATGATAGTGCATATCAATCACTTTAATTCAATTTGTGTTTAAAAATTTAATGCCATGTATTATTTCTATAAATGTTTTAATTTGTGTTAATTGTTTTGTTATGTGTTGCTACTGGTTCTTCTTTTACTTTTCAGGTAACCTTTACCTAGGGAGGGCCATAAGCAAGAAAAACCCCAATGGCATGCCTACAACTTTTAAACACTGAAGTCGTGAACCGCTTTAAAGGACTAACTTTGAACTATATGGAACTTATTGGACGAACATTTTTTAATTTGTAAATAACCCCCAGTTCCAGCTATATGGCTTTTACCGCGAGCACTTCGCATTTTCACATAAAGAACGCAGACTCGTTTTCCCTACGGTAATCCATTGAAAAAGTAGGCGTTTCCAAATCCATTGTGATTAACAAAAATTAAATCAATGGTAAGATGAAAACTATATATAACACCAAAAGCATAGCCGTCATATTATTGATTCAAGTCATAACGGAGAGAACTTCTAATGGTAACAGTGGTAAAACGTTCCAACAAAACAGGTGTTGGAAATACCTGGATTTCTTACTACAGATACTTTAGATCTCAACTATTATGTAAAATGAACTTCAAAACCGACGAATCTCTAAATTAAACAATTATTTTTATTGTGATAGTGATTTCGATACTATAAGCAAAATATAACCAAATTAGTGTTCGGGGGTCGAAGTTACGGTGTGTGTTGCATGGTTATAAACCGCTTATGCCATTTCCATAGTGCACTTAAGTGATACATTGGAAAGCACAATCATAACCATCTGAGGAAAACGGAGAAAACATGATATCTCTTGTGTTCGTGGTATTAGTATTGATTACAAAATTATCTCTTTATACAGGTATTTTTTTTTACTTTACAAATGATCAATTTTGACTAATATATTCGTTCAAACTTTTCGAAAGTAAATATATCTCTACCCTATCTTGTTCGGGAATTTGATTTTACACTTTTACCATAATAAAGAAACCGATAAACGGTGATACTGTTCAAATTATTTTATGTCTAAATCACATAAATAAGAATACTAAACAATGTTATTACAATTTGCTTCTTCTCAGATGAAAATTGAAAGTATATGTACAAATTCGGAATCGGAGAATTTAACACTGTCATTCGTTCCATTGCATACGTATTGTTGTAATTGATGATCCCCACCCCTACCCCCGCCCCGGTCCATTTACTCAGTTGCCGCGATCCTTCTGCAGGCATTACAGGAACTAGTTAATATCATCTATTTTCAGGTTATGAATTTCATTCAAAAGGATATCTATACGGGTAGTTCCTCAATGTTTCATCACTAGATTATTTTACCATAAATGCTAAATTCACTGGAAACTTAAACGTTGCTTTCTATAATAGTACCAGATATCAGTGGGCCATGTTTATCAATGCTGAAAAATATTCTACAATTGGGCATCCTCCTACATATTTACCAGTGCCATTATCCTCTACCACCGAATACAACAACTATTGGTTTAAATATGAAACAGGCAAAGTAGCTTTTGGTCTTGGCTCAGAACCAGGAAGTAATGGAATTGGAAAACTATCTAGGGATGGCACAGTAATGTATGTTGCATTCTGTGCTTATGAACCCAATGAAGTGTTTCTGAAGTTTCCAGATACAGCGAGTAAGTTTATATTTTTATAATTTAAGGATACACAACAGTCGGTCATTATCCAATTGCGAAAAAAATTA